AATGTAATTATTCAAAATCGGACTTTTAGAATCTTTGAATATTATACTTGAAAACCGTATAATTGAATTCTTAAAATATTTTGGACCACTTAAGGAGTGTCCTGTGGCGATCCAAACTTCTGTTTTTCAAACTAAATCCCCTCTCTTTTACTCTAATTTATTTAGTTGATATTTTTTTTTGAACATTTTGAGGTACTCAATTCGAAATTTGGACGAGTGGTTTCTCAGTTCTTAAAATGTTTATTCAAAGATAGTAGTCCTTAAAATTGGTTTTACAAAACTATAAAACAAATGTAATATTGGATCTACTATTTATTATAATTGGATCATTTTTACAAATTATAAATGTTGATTAATTAATAATCACCAACATTTTTAAATCACCATATTTCCCAAACCCACCATCGTGGACCTATTATCTTTATATTACACAAAGTTAAATGACTCAAAAACTACTTGTTTGAATTTTGATTTTGATACTTCAACATTAGCAAAAAAGTTATCTAGTAAATAAACTACGTTCGAAAAGGGAGGTTCTCATTTGAAAACCACAGGACGCTCCCAAAGTACAAAACCGAAATCCAGAAATTAGAATTTGAATAATTTCATTCTTAAAGGAAAAATGGGCGTGAGCATGCTAGGTGAATCACTCTGTATAGTATAAACATATTAAATTTATATGTTATTTGCGCTCTACCTTATGTTCTAACGATTAATCTACTCAAACTTCCTCATGCGATAGTGTACAGATTATAGCAGGTGACATTAGGCTCCTTAGTTTATCAGTTTTTCCGAACGATAAAGTGCACAATTTCGTTCATAAAGTTAGGTGCTTACAACCTGGTTGCCATTATTACTCTTCCGAATTTAACTAATAATATTATAGACGGTAGAAATCTGTGTCGGATACTGTAAGTATTAAGTAGCTTACAATTGTAATACCTGGTATGTTTATAATTACTTCACTAAACTAACAGAACAGGCCAGGGAGATGTTTCTACAGCCCCGGGGCTCTAGTTAAAAAAACTGAAAAATCCACGTAAAAACTTTGAACAAATTCTAGAAACTATCAAATAAATTAAAACAAGTAACAAACATTATATGTCCGTGTTCAAAAGTCACTGATCAAAAGTTGAACTGTTAACAGTGAACTGTAAGTGCCACGGCCCACGTTCCTCATCTTATCTTCTGTCACTCTATACATATCGATTACTCTTCATTAGTTCGCATGCGCACGTTAAGAAATATACCGGATTGTAATCAGCAACCATCACAAAGGAAAATGCTAATTATGAAGGAATCAATTATGATACCAGTTTGCAAGTATTCCTTTCACCAAATAAATGTTAGCCTGTATCACAAAAAAAAAGTCACGAAGAAACCTATGGAAAATAATAAATTGTCCAACTTCTTCTCAAGAATTCCAACAAAACAAGTTAGTATCTCCAATTTTCGACAAAGACTTTAATTTTCAAATAATAATGAATAATAATCCTTTAACAATAATACTATTGAAACTTTTACAATTATGTGTGCCCGACTTACGTGCATGTACAACAGATATTACTGTACATACAGCGCACTTATTATTTTGATAATTTGAATCGTTATAATATTAATTATCATAATATTATCTAAACCAGCTCTAAACTAATGAACTTCATGTTGGTCCCCCTATCAGAGTCTGCAGAAATGACCTTAACATGTAATTATTATTTATTAGATATCTAGATGTAACAAAATAAAAACAAGACAGAAGTTGGGAGAAAAATAAAATCATTTATGTATAGGCGAAAAAGCGAAGTGAAACTACAATTGGTTTCGAATTGCTTGAAGGGTGAAACGTATTTATGTCTAGGAATAAATAGTTTATTTACATATGTATCAATACGTTATAAAGAAAAAAATGCATGCACTTCAAAATTCAATACAAGTACTTAATAACTGTCGAAAACCCTACATTCACACGATTACACTATTACTTTTAAAGTATTCGTTAGACGATAAAAATAATATTTTGTTTAAAACGTAAAATAGGAATAATTTATTGTATAATTAATGAATTGGAATCAGTAAAATCATAGTACAATATTACAATACTTATAATAATTTACCTCGAAAATGGCTCTTAGTGTCTGGCTCTCAAAGCGACGTGAATGAAAAAAATGAAAAAAAATCCTCACGACTTGTCCGTCATATTTTCAGACTTCCAGTTGCTTCAGCCATTGGAAAATATCATCAAGTTAAACGGCAACATGTAGCATCGCATTCAGGACCTCTCTCGTCCTGCCACAGTTGTATACATAGGTGTCAACACATGCTGCTTGGATCGGTTAAAAACGGTTTGGCAACGACTTAAAAAGTTTGGATACAAACTTTTCACGATTCCATCTATAGCTATATGCACCTATTATACCTATAGTAGCTGTAAATTAAAATATTAGTTTGCTGATTTTTTTGATTACTTAGCATATGCGCAGAGTATATACTTCGTATTTTCCAGTGCCCACGATTATTGTTGAAGTGCGTTACGTTATAAAAATGGAAGGTGACAAATAAAGCTCTTCGCGGATTGCACCTCCTCCGAGAAATGATAAGTTCTAGAAACGTTATTGTCACGAAGACCTTCCTCCACCCGTTGTACCCACCGACGAGAGCATAATGAAAATAAATACCTAGCTTCAAATCCGTGTCACCATCACTACCGTACTGGATAGCATAATGTTCATTAAACACTTCATATTTATTAGGTCATATCCAATGTAAAGCCCTTTCTCTTTATCGTTACAGATCTCGCCCTAGCTTTTCTATAAATCCCACATCATAATTTCGATTTCGCTAAATACTCATCCTTTTTTAAATTCTACGTCTCGATGCGATATAATTATCCTGACTTTAGTTTTTTCTCGGATGCATTAAATATGATGATTCATATAAGCGTCACTTAAAGTTCTGATGCACTGTAATATTGTTTTCTATAGTCGTACCATTTTTTTGTTTTCATTGTATAAGATGTAACAACACACTGTAGTAATGTATCGTTACAAATTATATAAAATACAACTTATTTAAGTTAAACGAATTGTCCATAACTACACGGTTATTTTAGACCAATAAAAAAATGATCTTCAGCTGTTTACTTTTCCTTTTCCATATGCTATGCATATTTTGTTTTGTTCATTAACCTGGTCCAGTGTCGTACGCGTGATTTTTCAATTGGGAGGCGGGGGTTTGAATGTTAATAGTTATACTCGCAGTTGTCGTAACTCACAGTATTAGGTTTGAAAAATAAAGTAGGTACTTTTTTAATTCTTAGTGTTCTTACCGATATGCAGCATAAAATAAACTTTATAAAAACTTTTTGATCATACAGATAATGAGCAGTAAAATACATTTTTATTTCTATTTTGTCCAATCTAATGATTTCGTTCATCATTAGGTTTGAACGTTTTTCAATTTTCACTTCAACTTCTGTCGACTCTTCCTTTTTTATTTATGCTGGCTATATAGCTAATTCGTTAAGACGTATAAGATTATCACGTCCTCGATTACCAGATTACTGCAGTTGAAACTCAATAAATTTAAAACCAAAACAAATAATAATAGTATTGACAATGGGTGAGGGGGGATGGGGACTTCGGCAAGTCACCCTCCTCCTGCGTACGACACCGAGTCCTGTCCGATTCAACTGCAGAAGTTTATCATCTGTTATTACAAATCGGGCTTTTGACCGTTTTATTCAAACGAATAAATTATTACTGTTATAATGTACATAAATCCAGCCAATAAACGGATAAATCATTATAGGCCGTTAATCGTACGTCGGTCAATAATAACGTATTATATATTGTCGGAGCGAATACGCTCATCGTTTTGGCGTTTGTGTGACTACGATAAAATATTATGTGGGTAACAGACATTTTGGAAAATTGATTAGTGTTCGAGTGGCGAAACGGAGAAGACTGTATTTAATATCCATCCGTCGCGTACCTACAACTGCTGCTAAATACCATTGACTGGCCCTGCAAGCAAATAATGTGCGTCGACCTAGAAAGCATATTATTATCGTTACACATAAAGTGTTCTGAAAAATCACGAGTGGGCGTATATAGTGTAGGTGCATGCATGTTAGTTTTGTCGATCCGCCAAAACCGAAAACGATTAATCGCAGCGGCAATCGAAGTCCAACAATTATTATTGATTCGGACACTAAAATATCATTGTGTATATTTAGTTTCTATGTTTGTGTGTGGGTGAGCGTGTGTGAGTGCATCATTGACGCGGCCCGAGACTGAACTACATCGTTCGGTCCGATCGACTGGGTGATGATAATCATCATTATAATATAATATACGGAGTTTTAATGATTATTGATTGTTATAATGATAATAATATAATTTTTAATAAAATTATAATATTTTTGTATTAGCCATCAGGAGACCCGCCTGAGGTCTGACGACCTGGGGTACAAGGGTCAAATTCCACTATTAAGTACATAAAAAAAAATGATGATAATATATCCAAAAATAACACTATTTATTTTTACAATTCACTTTGTACAATAAATAAAAATGGATATTGTATACATTAATCGGCGTTCATAAAATTATAAATCGATTAGCATATCGATTGATTGATATCCATTGATATTGATAATAAAATAATAAAATAAAATAAATATTTAATAACAATTGATGATAATAATAATAATAATAATAATAATAATAATAATAATAATAATAATTATAATTATAATATAAAGATAATAATATTAAAATGATGATGGTAATAATAAATATATAAATCACAATAGTTAGAAATAATTATGCAATTTTTTTTACAGTAATATACAATATTATACGAGTATAATGTTAGTTATTTGCTATACTACCTGTGTGATAATATTACGATATGATATTTACACAGTCTTCGAGCAACTAATGAGCTCTACTCTACACTAAACACTAAATAATATTATACACAATAATGGATTTAATATGATATATTTTACAATGATCATTAGAAGGCATACCATATGATTTACCTGTACAGCTATACGTATAATAATTAATATAATACATAAACATTGTTCGAGAGTAAACAAACTTGGGATTAAGTTAAATACGATTAAAACTAAACCAATATGATTTTTCACATAATATTATAATATAGCTTTATATAAAATAGACTAAAGTGTTTATAAATACATATTATAGAATATTTCGGTTTAGAAAGATTAGAACAGGAACATAATGCAGCAATGCGTCCTCTCAGAATGTTATGGTTAGCGTTGACCTAGGCGGAACGCGTTTCTAATCGAGCATTAAGGCATTACGCTAATGACTAGATTTTTTTTCTACTAATATTTTTCTTTTACTTTGATGAGCAGACGATATATTTTACAGGCGATCGAAGCTACTGGACATCAAGATCTCATTTTAACTACAATGTTTATGTGGTTCGGGGACATTGAGAGACACGGGGCTCAAAAACATTTATTATAATATTATAATGCACTGCTGCGTTATGAGCCGATGTTATGTTAGGTATCGGTTACACGGATACAATCGAGACGGATACGCGGCTGTATCTGTGTAACGAATACTACTAATTTAAACATGAATAAAGTAAAAAATTAAAACTAAACGCTTTAAAATATAAGTGTATGGACAAATATCATAATAGATAACACGTGTTTACAAGTTGTATATTTATTAAGTGAGTGGTTGAAGGAGCGAGGGCGGAATAGTAGTGGTAAGGCGATTTTTAAACGATTTTCTACTAAATAAGAACAAACGCGAGTTTTTTTCTATAAACAATTAAATTATTTAAATTAAAATATTGGTTTTGGCCATCTCAAAAAATATAACAGTGCATTTGAAGAATGGTTGTCCCACGAACACGGATCGCACACGTTTCCGTCGAGTTATTCTAAGCTTAAAACGTGGGTGGATAAATGATTTAAAAGAACACAATAGCAGCAGGTAGTAAAATAAAAATAAAAATAGTAGTAATAAAAATAAATAATAAATAATTATACAAAACAATAAACAGGCGTTTTCGGGTGTTCCACGACAACAAGAAAAGTAAAATACAAATATTATAATATATGTACAGATCAGTCTTATATGAGATGGCCATTTAGTCTTTAATTTACACATTATATCACTTTCTATTAAAAAAACAAAAAAAATACAATGATATATAACACAAGTAAAACTCATAAGACGTAAAAAAATGTATATAATATGTGAATAATAATAATAATAATAAGAATAAATTAGTTTTAAGATTAATATTTCTTTTTTTTATACTTCAATACATTAAAACAGGAAAAAAAGTTAAAATATCAAATCAACGATTCCACTAGATTACAGTGTTTGATTTATAACTGTTTATTATATTATTTTTTTTCAATAAAAAAGTTTGTCAGTTCGTTGATGTAATATTCTATTTTTAAAAAAATGTGATGATGAATAAATATTTTTTTCGAGTATGCCTAATCTAAAACAATAAATAGAAGTACCTATATAAAAATTCAAAAATTGTATAAAAACAAACGTATACATTTCATTTTTCTTAACATTAATCGGTTATTTACACGCGGTCATGCACGTCGACTAATAATGATATTTTTGGGTGGGCAACAAACTGCAGTTCTCACTGCACAACTTTGTCGTTTTGTTGCAGTTTTTTTTTTTCGAAATTAAAAAAAAAATTTCCCACAATCTGCAAAACACAAATACAAAATAATATACATGATTTATACAACACGTTATGTATTTTTAAGAATGTCACGCGGGTCGGTGGGCGCTGGTAAAAAATGGTTCGCTAAGCTTGACCTACACACGCACGCAAATGGACGGGACGCGACAAAAATAGATAGACAAGGTCGATTTGAACTTCGAGAAGCGCGCTACCGGAAAGTGCACTGGCCATTATGCATTGATAAGAACACAAAAGCTAAAACATGAACACCTATACCAATATTCCTACTGTGTACCTAGGTATAACGGTAACCTTCAAAAATGGTATACTCGAGAATATATATAATATTATTACATTTAACATTAATATTATGTTCCTTGAACTTTGAGACCCGATTAGAAGAAGCTTAAACGAATATGATTATATCGCTAATTTACAAGCGGTTCTGTATACTATTTGCAAATGGTTTTAAATCAGTAGTACCCACGAGCATCGTTTTATCACAACGATTCACAAAGTCAATTAAAAAATAAGTATTATAATTAATATAGTGAAATGGATACAATGTCGATATTATGTCTTATGAAAGAATATAATGATATATTATATTCATGACATTTAAATGATCGCTATTGACTCTATTAGAAATCTGATCACTTGGCATGGACCAATTATAAAATCAATTATCATAATATCATTATTATTATTGTAGCTATTATTTAATTCTGACGCTGCAAATAGATTGTTCGGATGATTTTAGATGAAATTTTTTAATCACAATATTATATGCCTAATGCCTATACATTCGTTAATATACCTACCTAAGGTAACGGCAAATACAGATTGTAACTTTTTGACGATAAATAAGCGTCTCGATGAACTATTACCTAATTAATCGATTAAAACAAATAATTAACTCATCTTGGCTGATGCAACTATCGATAATAATTAAGTTGTTTTCAATATCATCTGCAAAATCACCATCGCAATTCGTTAAAACCTTCAGAGAAGCAAAGGAACTGAAATCATTGAAACGTGAGAAATGTACAAATTCGCATTGCTAAATAGTCGAATATCAGATGATATGGCCAATAACCATGAACTTTTGGGTCATAGTTATATACAATTATACAATGTGTGTATAAAGCGATTTATTTTTAATTGACTTTAAATTTTTCTTTTGTCACTACGGCACGCCCATATATGACGCGGTGTGTGTGCATTTTGGCGCCAAAAAACCGAATGAAATAGTTATGAAAATCTGGTTCCAAGTTGGCCCGGGTTTGAAATACTGCAGCAGCGCAGATGTCAAAACAAGCGAGCTTACGATTATATCGTTTTAATTGCCACGTCGAAATTAAATAATTGCCCGTACAATCCCTATCAGAATATAAATTACCCATATAGGTACACTCCTTTCCGATAGCATTGTTACCTATTGCCTTTCACAGTAGGATAATATAGCATTAACCCGTTATAGGTATATAACCTAGCCATTTTTACGATTATTCGTTTCACATCATGCTATAAATAAAAATAGATGTTCTATTTAGACTGTCTTACTATATGCATGTGATATTATTTGTTTTCGAGTAAATAAACGGTAAGACTTGTGTCAGTTGTTAGTTGTATACTCTCTCCCTCTCTCGACTACCCGGAGTGATTTATATCACATTTTTTTTTTCATATATATAATGTACAGGATGATTCACCAAGCATGACCCTTCACAGTTTAATTTGATCATGAATTTATTCGAATTCTGATTTCTGGTATTCTTAAATATACTTAAAAACCATATTATTTTCAAATTCTTTAGATTTTTTATACTACTTAAAGTAAAAAATAGAGAACCACCTTGTACGTATTTCAATATAATCGAAGTGATATTTTTTAACAGTGAACGCACTCCATTAGTGAGTACCTAATCCGTATATTGATTACATGTGAACGATGAAGGTTAAAAAATGGAAAAAAAAACACTGATATAATATCGCAAGATATCTCGAGAACTTTGTAAAACGAAAATTCAACTAAAAAATGAGATAAGGTAATACCTATCGTTTACGAACGGTGTTAAAAACGCAAGGCCTAGCTGTTACAACAGATATAATAAATTATAATAAAATATGAGCTTACATTTTGGACAGGCGGAGTTTGGTGGACGGCGGGCGGCGGAGGGCTCGTTCACCAGTACGCGGAAGCGTCGTTTTTCTGATCGCGCCAACCGGACCACGAGTTCTGCCTGGACTGGGCGCCGAAGTAGTGGACGGGCTGCTTCGGATGGTGATCGAAGTCGGCGACCAAGACGGGTGACAGGACGGATTGCTGCGGTGGCGACAGCAGCGGGGCGCCGTTGGACGGGCTGCCCACGGACAGGCAATAGTTGAGTCCGTCGTTGTTGTCCCAACACTCGAACTCGGCGCTCTTGTAGCACACGGCGAACTCCATGGACCCAGAGTGGACGGGCAGTGGCAGTTGGAACGAGAACGTGTCGTAGATGGCCGCGACGCCTGGCGCGGGACCGGAGGTCAAACACGAACCGTTCGCGGCCGCGTTCACCATCGCGTTGTTCTGCACGTACGTGCACTGCGTGTCTTCGTGACCGGCCCACCGGTCGTGCGTGCACCGGACGAACACGGCCTTGTCGTAGGACAGGTTGCGCACTTTGACCGTGCCCACGATCCGCCTGTCCGGTGACCGGACGATCACGTTCTCCAGCGACACGTTGTCAGTGTCCAGCCGCTTCCGGAAGTCCACGTAGCTGGAAGCCGGCTGCGAGAACCTGAGGTGCCACTGCTGCAGTAGCTGATCCGTAGCTCCCGTTTGCTGCTGCTGGAGGTGTTTGACCACGGACGTTGGCCCAGAGCCGGCAGAATCTGCTTGATAGAACGACGACACCGACGACGACGGCGACGCCGCAGACAACTTGGGTAGGTACGGTCTGACGGTCATCAGTTTCGGCGGCTGGTTTGACGGTTCGTTCATCAATCGCACCTGCGAAAATAAAATTATACTTATAATTAGTCATCCGCAATGTTGATGTAGTCCGTTTTTATAATTTTTGAGTTAAGGTCAAACGGATTACTGTTTTAAGTGTTTCCTATACTTGCAATGTAGATAATATGATAAATTAAATGTTGAAATTGCCGAATGATAAGAACGAACTCGAATGAAAATGAGTTATCTCATTAATATTTGTTTTATTTGCCCAAACAAACGAATGCGTTTAATGTGGGAGAGGGCAGTGGGCCCTGTCGTGGAATGTCCCCCGGGATCCGTTATACGCTAAATATAGTTGTGACATAAAACTTATGAGTAACTTATGCTAATATAATTTTAATGTTGTACTTATAAGTACGTAAGTACGTCATAATAACGTATTATGTTGTACATTATAATTAATAATATACAATTCCTTTGTACTAATAACAAATAAATACTTTTATAAATATATTTATTTATTTTTATTTAATATAGACGGACGCGAGTCCTGAGACATAATAATATTAACACTGTGTGCGAAAAATAATACCATAATACAATAGATATATTTAATATTGTTTTGAATCATTTTTCCCTCCCCTCCAACCAAACAAACCACTGGTTATAACTTATAATATTACAGTGCCTATAACCACTAACCTACTAACACAACAGTCTACCGAGGTAATTTAATGCATTTTACCTATTATATTCAACACCCTAATCACCACGAGCCAGTAAAACAACGAGAATAATATTATATAATATTATATATTATTCTATTAGCTGATTACCAACGATTGTTTTGTAGAGTAAAAATAATTATGTTCGATAAAACGACACGACGATTACGTGCTATTTAAAGAAAATCACGTCTCGTACATGGTTATATATATCACGCTGATTATGCTAACACGCGAGTTTCGGGTCATCGTATTCGACGACACGCAGCATCAGAAATAATATACCGATAGGCGAGCGATAACCTAGAGAAGTTCCAACTTAATAGCAATCGTACAACGCAATCGTAACGTTGTATTAAGTATACCTAACAATGATAACAATATATTATAGGTAATTGGTCACACGTACGTCGAGTGATGTCGGGTAAATCATTTTTAAAAGATGGATATCCGACTTATGTACTTACCACAGGCGCCCGGAGTAAAACTTTTAGGGAACTGGAAAAATTTTCCATCTGGCTAATTAGCATTTTTTTATTTCATATACTATGATAAATTATACTATTTAACAAAATTGTAGGTTAAGTAATTCTAACCTAACTTGAGTATTCATAAGAAAAAAAGGTCACCATGATAAGAAATCTTGTTTAACGCCAATTTAACAAATATTATATTTTATGTGTTAGCAAACTCCTACTATTACTACTATAATAGTCTATAAGTCAAGACACTCGTCACAAAATAAAATACCAATTATAGAGACCTTAATATATAGCAAGAGCGAATCTAGAGTTTCAAATTTCGTTTGGACATGATTAGGTATTTATTTATAAGTACCTAAGCTAAGAACGGTGATCCAATGACACACGTGCCAAAGATGGCCTGCAGTTGGCCCAATTTTAAGGGCGAGTGAAAATGTTATTATTTCATTGTTTAATCTTGTATAATTGCATTTAATAAAAAAAAAATTATACACACACGATATAATTATTTTGACACTCAATATTCGTGTCGGAACAGGAAGTTATACCGGAAGTTGTGAGAGTTTATTTGATATTTCCCGCAAAATTTTGGCACGTGAAAAAGATTCACCATTCCTCATATAGGTACGATCCAAAATCCTTTCTCCCCATTTTTTTTTCAATACAATTGTTAGTATAAAAAAAATTATAAATTTTATTAATTCTTAAACGAAAATACTTTTAATTAATATTATTTTTAATGCCTAATTGATATCAATTTATACTAGACTTATATAGTTTAAGAATTACAAAAAAAAGTATATACTGGCGGTAAAACGGAGAAGTTTGAAAAACTGATTTTAACAAGGTTTAAAATAAACTATAGAAAAACTAATGAAATATTTTCATTCTTTCGAAAGATAAATTATAATCATTTACTATCCTCCATCAAAACGGCTGGATCAGGTAAACAACAAGAAAAAAATGAAACGGGCAGCTACCCACGAATGGTTAATGGTTTTTGGAGAAAATTTGTAAATGTTATATTATAATATATAGGTAGGTACGTACTAACGATAGACACCTAACTATAATATTGTCTAACGAATGTGGGTTTCACTTACTTGAGTCAGTGACAGGCCTCGGTCGTCGGCGAAAACGACTTTCTTTTTCCTCCGGACCGGACTCGACGGTTCGTTTTCGTCCGAAGACGAACTCGAAGACGACGATCCAATACTGCCCTCGGAGTCGGCCCTGATCACCAGGCACGGTCTGCGGGGCTTGCTGGATGACGGCAAGTGGGCCAACATCGGCTGTCTGTCGTCCGACCTGGTCGGCGAGAACGACGACCGTCGCACCGATAACGGCGACGGTTGCTTCTTGTTTACGACCAGCCAGTTCTGATAGAGCACGGACAGATCCTGTGTCGGGCCGCTGTAGATTGGCGGGCTGTGTGCCACCATGACGTCGCAACACTCGGTCAACATGTTGGCGGCTGCAGTGGTGATGACGGCGGACGATCGGCGTGGACTTTGGTACCTATAAGCGAACAAAAACAACAGCGGCGAACACATTTTATTGACGATCTTATGCACAGAAAACGCGTGATTATAATACATCATAATATCGTACATAATATAATATTATAATTTATTACGACACGCATAAAACAATTTTTACAAGTATTAGGATATTGGTCTATAGTGACATATCCGTCGAGGGTACCACATAGGTTCGGAGAGCACAAACACCCTCTATCCAACGCGTATATAATATATATGTTTGGTATCGTGTGCGGAGACCTTAAAGTACACAAAGAGGCCACACATCGATGGCGGGCAGGTACTGCTGCAAATTAACCGCTAAAATGTTAATTTGTTACACCTATATATACAGTCCCGGCAATTCTAGCAAACAGAAAATTCAAAAAAAAAAAATATATTTATAATCATTAACATTTTCACAATACAGTAAATGATAGCAATACCAATAATTAGCGACACCACCAGTTTTAATAATTGGGTGTATATGACGTCTCAATGACGTCCAACAGTAGTGTAAAACCCAAAAAACAAGTCTCCCCGATTGGAACAAGCGAAGCCCCGCGGCCAAACATTCCGTGCAAATTTTCAACCCAATAATGGGTGCAAAAGCTCAAAAGGAAACAATGATTGTATTATAGAGACATCGCCAATTTGAACGAAAACTTAAAAGCAATTTTTAACAGCAAACAAAATGTCGGTGAAATATTTCGGCGAATAATAAATTACGAAAGGAAGTAACTCATTTCAGACGTATCACTCATTCACTCATTGCCACACCAATCGACGCCAATGATTTTTATGTATCATACAATTCATTACTAATAACTAATAAGCAAATATAATATTATTATGCATAAGAAATTAAAATGTCCAATCACTTTTGTTCCCATCACACCAACGTGGCCATGCACTATATTTAAACTTGTATTTAATTTTAATTAGCAATAACAAAAAATAAATTCCGTGCAAAAAATTATCAGAATTTATTGTGTTTAATTTGTTGAGCTAATCTAAAAACAATAATAATGTTATTAATATAGTGCCTTTTCCTAGCAGGTAACAACTCGATGATAACATTTAATAGTATCTCTTGTGCACACATCAGAGTGAATATTCGTCGAACTCGCGACTTAAAGGTCAATATGAAACTATATCATTATCAATACGAAGCAATTACATTTGTGAGGTTGGTATAATAAAACACGCTGATAACTACCAAAATCATAGATAGCTTTATGTGAATATATTTTTATCTGATTGGTTTTTTTTGTGCAGAAAAACGCATCAAATATCTGGGATTTTTTCCATAAACCTAACATCCTACATGCTTTAATGCATTAATACAAGTGATGCTGTGGTGAATGATAATAATCATACTCTCATGTCATGATATATTTATTGATTTATTGGTATTTATGAAAGGTTTACTGGGATAGATTACAATATGAATATTATTCAAATATTTTATGATTTATTACAATAACATAAGTGGCTAATTATACTATTGTTTCCAAAAAAAAAATTACCTATACATTTGACGACACGTTTCTATTACTAAACAAATACATACATAATACGTACATGGTTCTAATTGAGTACCTATACCTATTGACTGCATTATATAAAAGATAACATTTTATCTGTCAGTTTAAGAAACTAGCGTTCAAAACACATTAATTATCACTTGAAAATCCCTGAAAATGCATGACCTAGGTTTTTTGCTGACAGTTAATAATTATAGCTTCATATAATTAAATTATAAGTATGATTAAAATAAATAGAAGGTTTTTTGTGCTTAAGGTACTCGACTAGGTTATACGAATGGTTAAAACATGTTTTTTAAATTAAATAAATGTCGCTTTTGTTGTTAAGCATTGTGTAGAAAATGCTTAAAATAATGTCTTATTAATGTTGACCGTGTTCTAAGGGCCTAAGGTTAAGAATATATACATTAGTATGTTATGTTAAAATATATATGTGCTAAACAATACCATCATCAATACTTGTAGTTAGCTCTATGTTATCACAGACTTGTACTTGTTTTTTTTTATGTAATTCGTAAATTTTTAAAAAATTCATACAAAAAGTAAAAACAAAAGGATTTAAGTTTGGAATTAAAATAATATTTGCATCAAAATATTTGTAAGCCATCAGAAGTTGGAATATGATAAGAGGTTCAAGCAAACGAAACATCCCTTAAAATGTACATGCAATATTGACATGACGTAGATATAAACAAAATTAAAGTAAGTACTTGCAATATTAATAGAAACAACATTAACAGTGATTATGGTTACCGGGTGAAGAAGATGCTTTGCAGATAAAACTAGAGAACTGGAAAATGTTATAATATATTTTATTAATTGCAATAATATTGCTGTCTAATTCTTAAGAGTGGAGTCAGCTTCGAGAAGTCGGAGAGCCGTCACGTCCGCAACCAACGTTCGTGGATCTCCGATGGTGCCTGTTCGTTCTACTCTATCACTATAACCGATACCAGGTGACCACTAACCAGATGACCTGTTGAAAACCGACCACGAACATTTAAAACAACGAAAATACATATCTGAACAATTATACGTCTCTATATATGTGAATATAGGACGGAGGTGGGTTGACGACGACAAGAGGCCCGTTATCTCTCATTGTGTCCGACTCGAGACACAAAGATACGAAAAAAATATATACTTTTCGACCTAAATTATAAATATTGGCCAGTCACGTACTTACATACATATAAGGGTAATGTGCCAAAATTATCAAAAACGACTCTCGTGGCTCCCACTCACGCTAAACAAATCATATCGCCTGCGAGTCCGGGGGGGAAACAGAACAAAAAGTCCCCCTATATAATGTTGCCCTTCGCCAAAAGATCACGGCCGAAAATAAACTCGGACCAGTGCCAGACAATATATTATAAGGTCGAAAGATGACGCGCGTTTATCGACTTCATAGTCGCCTACGTGTGGTATTTCGGCGGTTTCGGGGAGAGTGCACGCATGAGATATGGCAATAAGTATAATATTAATAATAAAACGATAAAAATATATATATCGTAATTGTTTAATTACTGTAAAATTGTTGTCATTATTATTTTATTATAATTCGCCGCCCGTGTCGAACCCAACGATGCCATAAAACCGCGTATAATAATCATCGTCGCGTACCTACATACGACAGACGTGTGACCCAACCTACAGGTGTGCCGAAGATTAAAAACGATATTATGCATGATTGCATGAAGTTTATTTCTAAAATTAAATTATTTTCCCCTTACTGAAATAATCTCGGCCTAATGAAACGGCGGGAATTCCTGCTCACTGCCAGTGGCGGCGGCGACTTCCAACCGAAAACGATAGCGTATAGTATAATATAGGTGGTAATAATATGATTGTGTTGTAACAAACGATTTCAGTGAAAAAAAAAAACCTCAGAAAATAATACTCACTGCTGTATGGTCTCCGTTTCTTCAGTTGGCGCGCGGAGTTTCTGATTGCAATGCAGTTTGAATGATTTTTCGATGTGCAAGTTCAGACGGCAACAGCAATGATAATTACGATATCCGCAGATAGGTTACTGTTGATTTTCTGCTTTCGTCGGAATATTTCATAAAATTAAAATGACGTCGACGTCGACGTGGTGGTAACTCTTGGTGTTTGTGGATGGGTTTGCGAACTCGAAGTCGAAAACAAATTGAAGCTATACAATTCGTTTTGTCCGACAGAAATCTGTTGCGTGAGTTACGAAATCTAATAGTAATAATTTTATGTTGGTCTGTACGTGTTCAAACGAGATCCAGGGGGAAAAAAAATCACAGAAATGCAACTATCATGCATCGGACACTGATAAACCGAACCATAGCGGACGGTCGTCAGATTTTTTTTGTCGGGCGAGTCTCAACAGTCGTTGTGAACTTGCTGGCGTTGCGTTGTGCTACGAAGCGTCGACTGAACGTGCTGTAGTAGATATAGCCTCAGTCGTCGGTCAGCAGGTCCGATAACAGCGATACCACCTCCACCGGCGGCACCGACCAACCGACTCTTCCCACCCATCAGCCCCGCCACGTCAAAACGGCGCCAATTTCCGATCGGACCTTTTAGTGTTACATTAATGATATTATGTACATCACAGCAGCCTTTACCGTTTGGATGTACCTTCGGATCGTGTTATCGACGATTTGGCCGCCGTAGGTGCATAACAATACACGTGACACGCACTGTTATATAATTTGTATACTTTTATTTTGTTATTACGGTTAGTATTATTATTATTATTCCCAACAACGCGAAATCGATGTGTGACGTAATGGTTGCAATTTTTCTTGGTCAAAATCCTGCTGTCGACATATAGCCGTATGCATGATATGAGCGCTTTGGCAAGCTGTAAAATAAATCAGTTTAAAGAACTTCCAGTTAATTATTTCTGAATGTTGAGTGATAACTATTTTTTGGGTATAAATGCTAAGCTATACTATAAAATACATATTTTCAATTTTTTTTTTTTTTAACTGAAAGTTAATACATCGAGTTAGCAAGAAGTGTTTGAAAAAAACGTTTGCTCTCTTTACATTTAAAGTTACGAAAAAGAAACCTGGGATGATAGAATTCTTATTAAAAATGTGGTAGCTCTAAAAAAGTGTTTAAAAACTATTATAGATATTATTAGAACCGGTAGTACGTATGGGTTTTTGATAATAATTTTTGACCAATGGGTTCTGAATACGATAGAACAATCAGATTTAGTTGATCGCACTTAGTTATTTTCTTGCTTCTTTCAGAGGCTTTTTTCAACTTATACACATTACACAAAAAATAACTTTTAAAAAAAACATAGTAATAAAAATATAAAAAATACATTTTTCACACTTTCAAATTAGGTGCCTTAAGTTAACCCTAAGTCCCTTTGAAAGTGTTAAAACACATTTTGGAAAAAAAAATATTGTAATGAGCGTGAGTATAGTACTTAACAATTAACTGCTTTCTTCTCGTTTACATTCTTATTTCAAATCAAATAATATGGGTCCCGTATACAAAAGGCAAATGAAATCTTTGTTTTTTATTTTCACTATTACTGTAGTGTACCTAGGGCAATACAATTATGAACCTGTCACCATTCTTGTGACAAAATGATTATTCGAATTCAAACAAAACCTAAAACACGCATAGGTAAAATAATTATTAGAAGTCAAACAACAACTAAAATCTTTAATGTATAAAATGTATTTCTCAACAAGTCTCAACCGAATATAGATGCAAAGTGATTCACCAAGAAAACTAGCACTATTTTTTTCTTCACTAATACAGTTAATCAAAATCTGATTTTTGAACAAGGGTAAGCTTATGAGTTATGACGATAGAGTATTCATTAAAAACATAGTATACACAGAAGAATTGACTTTCAATCATTACAATCGTTGCTAATATTATTATTATTATTAATTGTTAGTTGCATTAGTATTTATAATTAATGGTGATAGCTTAAATTAAGCATTTAGCTTAGATTTATTTATACATTATTTTTCATGTCATAATGTCTCTCAACAATACACCTTAAATATCAAAAATACACGAATATAATGATAGAAAGAAAGCGTATTCATAAACAAATTGCTGCTTTGGAGAAAGATGGTGTATTTTCTGAACAAATAATTATTGAAATTATTGACAGTTAATAGAAGTAGTTAAAATAGTTAGAATAATTTCTACTTGAACTTGAAACAATTCAATTTTTATTTTTTATTTTAATACAACCAAAAATAAAATAAAATATTAAATTATGTATAAATAGATTACAAACATTAAATTGTATAGTTTTTTTTGCTAGTATTTCGACAACTTCAGAACGATACTAGTATTTATAAATACATAATATAAATGATATACATACATTGGTTACAAAATGATAAGGTACCTACATCATTTATTGAACATTTTTAAGTTAAAAAAATCAATTTTGATGATTACCGGGTTAAATGGATGACGTCACGCGAGACGCTGACATCCAGACAAATTAGATTAGAAGAACGTACAACAAATAGTGCGAGATTTGAGTTAAGTAGCTAACCTAAATTTAGGGTTGCAATATATTGTGAAAGTTTTAATTCAAAAAATCGTTTTGAAGGGTTTCACTTGGAAATTCCGAAAGTGGACTAGTAAAGTTTCGCAAAATATGGATGAAGATTTTGAGTAGGTAGGGATACGAAAGTGGGTGGCCAACTTCACGTTCGTTAGACACATCCGACAAAATACGAAAATAGAACATTTAATGAAAATTACTTGTTAACAACTAATAATAATAGTTACTGTCAAGCGAATACAAATAGAAAGCTATTTTTCTATAAAAAGTAAGTTGTTATCTAAAGCTTTACAGTATTAATTCCATTTTGTTGGGTAAAAAAAATAATTTTTTTGTTACTACATATTATCTATATTTTTCTTTATACGTTATTTAGGTAATTATTTTTTTGATTATGAAAAACATTTATGTTACATTCATGAAGGTTTAGATATACATTTTACTATAACATGAAAATAGTTGAATGCGCCAAAACCAATGCCAAAACCATAGAATACATAAGACTACATTTTTAGTTTATCTTTAATGTTTTTTACACAATTTATGATTAATATATATGTAAAGACAAAAAAATACTTAATAGAGGCGGTTCCCGAACCGGGGTCACGTTGAGTTTTGAAATACCTAAACATTTTTTTTTATAATATAAAATAATATTTAACATTAAATTACTATAAAAAATATTATATACCTATACATACAAGAAAATGTATTATGTATTAATATGTCATACATATAAATTGGAGTAAATATAAATTAAAATAAATATGACATAATATATTTCCGTTTAAGTATATTGTTTTATTGTACATTGATGGTTGAATTTAGTTTTATCATTGCTCATTATCCGCGACGATTACAAGTGTACCAGTGACATGACTGTGGGTCACCACGACACTGTCAAGCTCAAAATTATCTCAAAGAAAGCGATTATTATTGATTAACAATGAAAACAAAAAAAAAACTATTAATATAGTGTTGTTGGTTGCAAAATTATCTAAACATTTTCCAAAATTGTTCGTACCGTGAAAAGTTTGGGAACCTCTGGCTCTCGCGTGTACTTATTGTTAATCAAAATAATAGTGTGTTTTTGTAGGACAAGAAAATACTCTGTATGACACTATGACTATATGATGTTATTTACGCGTACCTATATTCGAAGCAAATTAAATTTAAATACCGACCCGAATAATATACCGGTTATCTATCACGTGCAAATTGAAAATAATACTAAAATGCTTGTATATATGAGATTCAAAGTTGGCCATTGAGATAATAAAAAATGACATTTCAACAATTAAAAAATTAATGTTGTTATTACTTATTATCTCGAGAATTTTTTAATGCCCACTACTTAATTTGGTTGGATTCTATGTAATATATTTTTATACGTGTTTACCTATGACGGAAATTGATTACCAATAATTGCATTTTCATTTTATTCAGCGCCTAAATATCAGAGTCAATACTTACACAGGCGAAAGTACAAAACAATTAAAACAACAAGAGGTAGGTACGTATGTCAAAATATATTAAATAATTTGTATATCGAGTTGTTCACATTATCTATCGGTTAAGAACCTATTAAGTTGAAGATTGGGTTGAATGGTTATTTATATTATTTAAAATTAATTAACAGTCCGTAAACAAGCAACAATGAGAAGAAACTTTGGTATGCGATTTCATTATAATAATTTGTATTTGTATAGGAGAAACTATCCATTAATAGCACAGGCAATTCGGAATGTTAAGATATGTGTACTGAAATAAATTAACATAATATGTAAGTATCCAAATGATTGAACTACTTGAATAAATAACTCCCGTCTCCTGGTCGTCCAAAACATATGCCCGAAGAATGAGAATATAAATCTTTTGAGATTGACTTGACTTATAAATAGCAAAATTATTATTGTTCGTAATCGTAATACTAATATAGGTTATATTTCATACAATATTATAATATTATTTGTATTTTACCTTACTCGTATCTTATTTTTGCATTTTTATTGTAAAGTGATATTTAAATGAAGACAATCTTTAAAAAAAATGAAATAACATATTTTTAAAAATATTATACTTTTAAAACGTAGTATAGATCTAAGCATTTTTTTTTCAATTTCTAGTCAATATATGGTCTAAATTCACTATGAAAAGACTCTTTAATAAAAATTTTGATTTTATGTATTTAGATTTCATGTGGCAACAGATAACAAATATTGAAATATGAAATTCTTTAATATAATAATATATACTAGCATATTAAAGTAAATGACTAGTGAACCTAAATACCATTAAATGATATATTAAAAATAATGTGTTTTTTAGTCAAATGGGTAAATTTATGCAAAATATTAAATTTCAATTATAACTTATGAGAAATGAGTACAATAATAATATGTATAAATGTTAATGATTTTTACAAGAAATTACTTCCTCGTGGACTATATAACTACATGATATACTTTTATTATTTTGTGTGCTGAGGCACTATACATATATAAAGTATATCTGTACCTAACAAAGTGTTTAGAAATGGTTTAGATTCTGATCGGAGTAACGAGTTTTATTTTTACAATTATTTGTTATTTTTCGTTTGTCTGGAATCATATTTTTGGCTAAGAATTGATTCAAAAATACGTAAAAATGTTTTTCTAACTTTGAAGCATACGTTTTAGGTAGTAAATTTGATGTAGTTGGCATTTTCAAAGTCAAAAATAGAAAACAACCACCAGTACTTTTCAATATAACTAACAAAAACTAAAAATTAAAATATTCCGAAAAACAGGAGTATTATTATGCATAGATACCATTTCTCAAATCGATTTGATTTTTTTTTTTTTGATATTGTAATTCAAATATTTCTGATTTATTTGTATACATTTTAAATTTTCAACTTTTTAA